GACATCCGATAGATCCTACCCTTCAAAATACTAGACCCTGGGATAATCTCTATCGCGTGGATGACCTCCCTCTCAACAACTCCTGTAGGCTCCTCAAATAGATCAGGGTACTTGGCAACTACTCCCTCTATCTCGGGCGGCATTTTTACCGGCTCGCCTACAGCAGAGACGTAAACCAGATACATACCCTCCTCCGGATTTTGCTTATAATAATTGTAGAACGCGGCCGCACACAAGCATCCGTGGGAATCAATCAGACTACTAGCCTTAAACTTGTGTAATCTGGCGGTTCCCCCGTTTGGCAAAGTGTGTTTGACCACCTTTCGGTCCCAGTCAAACTGGGGTTGTGCCACGGAGAGGTAGTACATACCCAATAGCATGTCCATGGGGAGCTCGTCGCTAACCAGGAATGAGACATGATGCCTCAATTCCCCTCCCGCGTACGGGAAAAGACATTCTATGTCTTTTAGGTAGTCATGGACTACCATGCGCTGTTTGTTGGCGCAGGTCGATTCCACAGGTCGACTGAGGAGCTGCACTTGCCCCTGTAAGCGCAGCCTCTCAACGCACGCGCGGCTAATAAAGTTCCTAGTCAAGCAAGTGTCGTAATAGGCCCCGACCTTGCGGCCTCCTATGACTACCTCGCTGACAAACATTTCACTCCCAGGGGCTTTGACTAACGCCGTCCACGAAGCTAGTGGGTCTGATCTGGACCACTCATCTTCTAACTCCTCTAAGGATTCAAACACATTCATCGAACAGAGGGTCGATGGGTCTGAATGTGTTTGCGGGACGACTGAAGAGTCTATAGCTTGGGCCATTTCTCGCGAATGTAAGGGTGTATCCACCACCGCGACCCGAGTAGGAACAACTACTATTCCTACTGGCCCGACGTGTTTCCCGAAGCCGTGCCAGAAGTGCTAGCAACGTTGCTTCCAACGGGAGTAGAGGATCCTCCTGTCGACCCCATAGCAGGCGGGATCTTCTCGGTGACCTTCCTGTTGCGGCACTTAAACATGCTATGACCATATTGGCCACACTTGATGCACGCTTGCCGTGCCCACCGATCTCTCCACACGTCCTCAGATAGACCCGCTTTCTCCCATGGAGGAGCATCGGGGTCTGTTTGACTCTTCGACCGGGATCCCCTAGGGCGTCTACCGGTCCCTTTACCTTTTTGTTGGGTTACGGCGGCGACTACTCCACCCTCTGAAGCACCGCCACCTGCCTCTGCACCTACTCCTAACTGGGAGTCGTCGTCCAACTCAATGGTTGAGCCATCGTGGTCGACGAACATAATGCGGCCCTTGGCTTTTCAGTTAGGAGGCAGCGTCTCCTTGTTCCCGTCCGTCACTGAGTTATGTTCATGCCCTATCTTTGCCTCAAGGTCTAGGGCTACCTTGCAGAACGAAGGAAAGTTGTGCATATTGATATCGGCCTCTTTTGCCAACTGGTTCCTGAGAGGCTGAGATAAGCACCTCAAGTACGAAGTTAACAGGACCTGGGGATCATAGCGTACCCCAGGGACACAGATCAAACGCTCAACAACGTCGGTGGCTTCTCTTAGTGACTTAAACTGCCGCGTGTAAAGTGTCAGGATCGCGTCAGTGGCCCTTTGAGCCTCCTGAGGATCATGCCACCTTTCTTCCACCATCTTTAGGAAGTCCTCCAATTTCTGAGAGGCTGCCCAAGAGCGGAAGTCATGACTGTACCCCTGGAGTTGCACTAACCCACTCAACCATCTTGCTGCACTACCCTCTAGGTAGGAAGCAGCCACAAGCACTTCTTCGTGCGGCAAGGTGAGTTTGCACCTGACGTAGACCGGCACTGCCCTCAACCATGTGTTGAGGTCCTCGCCTCTCTTGTCTCCTGTAAATGGTTTAGGAGCGGCGATGGCCGTCTTCGGAACCCACTGTGTTTGTCCCGGTCCCTGCACCACCCCGGGCTGTGGACCCGGTGATACAGGTTGTTGTGCTAGCTGCTGGGGCTGTGTACCCGGTGGCTGCACAGGTTGCGAGACAGCAGGCTGCGTGGTGACTGCAACCTGTGACGGACTTGGAGTAAACACTGTCTGTACAGGAACCTGTAAACTACTCCCTGTTGTTACCCCTCCTGATAGAGGCATGCCCAGGGAAACGATAACAACCGTTGACAGGGCTACATATGGGGATACCCCTTTCACCGGTGGGACAGAAAAAGGAGGATATGGCACGGGCCAGGCACCAGGCCCTGCCGGTGATGGTGCTCCCTGAGAACACCCTACCAAAATGGCTAGGCTCTGCTGGATATCATGAAGGATGGTAGTTTGATGCTCCTGCATCTCAATTACTGCTAGCAGGGCCCTGCTAACTACCCTCACATCGTCATCCATGTTCGTCAGGTCCATCGACTCTAACTCCTCTATGTCTGCCCCTCTCCGTTGCATCTTGGTCCTTCTTCTAATCATCATCTCCTTCTCCCTTTTTATCTGTCCTAATGCCTGTTGTAGCTGTGCCTCTTGCAGGGCTGCCTGCTGGATGGCGACATCCTCTGGGGTCAACACCGCAGGCTGGCTTGCCATTAAGCCAGTGGACTGACTCACGGTCTGTGCGACCGTAGACCCGGCGGTACCTGAACTACCGGCTGGGGAAGTCTGCTGTGCAGACGTGCTCATGGCTGTGGTAGCCATGGCTGCTGTAGCACCGGCCTCGCTAGCTGATGCCCTGCTGGCCTTGGTTGCTCTAGCTCTCCTCTGCTGCTGCCTCTCCCGCTGCCGGCGGAACAGTTCCCTATCACCCCCCGGTCCAAGGGACACGTGAGATATTGGGCCTCTAGCTGATCGCAAGATCCTGCGGTTGTCCTCTCCGGTGTCCTCACTGTCGCTTATAGACTACAGCCCTGTGCACCGCCTACACTAGATCATTCAATGATGCCTAACGCAGCATAGTGCACAGACCAACTATTTAGTGGTGGCTATTTTTGGAACAGATCTCATTTGGGGTCAACAGGTAAGTCAGATTCCTACCGTCAGTACTATTTTTAGTAAGATTAGTTCTCAAACGGAGGAAGCATCAGGAATAAACAATATTCTAAATTAATGTTGTCTGTCAGATAACACATGGCTGTCCATCTAACTAATCAAAACAAAAATAATGTTGACTGACTGGGTTTGTTCATAGCATGGAATTTAAACTCAAACTTATCACCTGGAACCTACCCCTCCCTTTGTTCTTCTCAATGTCACGGTGTCACATCCCTAAGCATCTGAAGCCAAGCGTGTCTGAAGGTGTGCAATCCGGTCCCACCCCTGTGCCCCAGGTTATCGTCGAGCAAGGCAGCCACAACACTCTTATTTATCCTCGTACGCTGACGAGCCTTCCACTCGGATGATCTGGCTGATCAAGAGGCAATTCAACGTCCGCCCCCAAGTGACTCCAGGAATTATTTTACGTTGCAGTCGGACGACGATCACAGCCAGATCAGAGCCGAGTCCCCAACCAGAAATGTTTATAGACGGTCTAGTATGCGTCTTAAGAGGCTGCCATACTCGAGTTAACCCCTATTTTGCGCAAGCAGCAGAACCAACGACTTGCAGCGAAGCATGCGTGTACTAGTCCCAGCGGGTTGGCATGGTGACCGTGACCCGAGTGCTTCGTCCAGGGCCTTTCAAGAAGCTCCGCCCGTCTTCCCCCAGATACTCCACGTGAACAATCACGACTCTCAAGGTTGAGCACACACGACACCTCACGATGAGAGGACTCTCAAGACAGAACTCACAACCTCACAGTAAGAAGTGATGGAGAGGGTAGATAAGGTTAAGAGCAACGTACCTCATTCAAGCTGCCCCCAACCATAGAGGTAATCTCACCAGATGATCTGAAGATGATTGCGGTGACCAGTCACAGCATCGACACAACCAGCATTGTCTCGCCGTTCCACCTCGGCCTCAATCACCCAACAGATAGTTCTCATCACACTTCGAACACCCAATATTTACACGTAGCCTTCCAGGCGATGCCCCTCACCACCTGGGTCGCCAATACTTGTCACTTCCCCTCCTCACTACACACCAATCACAGCCCACTCACGTAGCAGACCGCACGTATGTACCGCATGAGAAAAGAGACAAGTGCCAGATGAGCGCACTGTACCACAGCTCCGATACCAAATTGCAAGGAAGATGAGCATTAGCGAACGCCAGCAATCAAACAGCATCATACATATGTGTCCAGATAGTCTTGACCTCGAACCAACAGCAGTCATGCATCACGAGATTCACCAAATCAGAACACACCAATAGTTCGTAATTGACAATGCTGAAATAGTCTCTCATCATCATCAACGAAGAACAAGAGTTGATATCCTATTGGCGCTCGGCRCCCAGACTACTTGTGGCAGATYCTATCTAGCCTAATACTACAATGTCRATGTTGACAACAACAGCTCCYTGAAGTACGAGCATACAGCGGACAATGCCGCACGCTTCCAGCACCAGGTATGTCTCTCGTAACACTCACAACCCCGATCCACACCGCACAGATGCCTCTTGCACCCAAGGACCACCCTGCGCCACACCCAGCTCACAGCGGAGCAGCTCGGCTATGGCTGCCCGCTCCTTCCTGCTCGCCCGTGAGAGCGTGAGTGCCAGCCAGCCAGCAAATAGCGCAGCAGCGCTCGCACAGCATGCAGCCAGCACCCGAATACCGAATGAGGAGGCAGGCCCTTCCCTATATCGAAGTGGCCTGCCTGCGTCCAGTCACGAAGAGAGCAGGCCTTGGGCCTGGAGTTGTTGCATGAGCCCAACTGCTTTCGGCCTGTGTTTGGCCTGGTACCCATATCCAGCCAAGGGCCTGCTTCACATTCATTTACATAGGCGGCCCAGGGCCTGGATTCATTCAACCAACTGGCGCAACGCAACTGTCTGAATTTCCCCGATGCGGGGTACCCTGAAGAACGAGGCCCGAAGGGCCGGTCGTGCCTGCCTTCACTTAGGGCGACCGACCTTGTTGCAGATAGGGCCCCGTAGGGGCTAAGCGAGCGTAGCCTCGCATTCCCTCCTCCATATCTTCGTTAGTCCTCTGCGAAGATCAATCTGCAGCCATCTGGCGCTTTCCTTTCAATACATCCTTCTCATAGCGGGCAACGATTTGAGGAGCGGTCTGCATCAGTTCCTCCCGAGTAAACCAGCGGTCCTCCTTCGGATCTGTATAATGTCTGAAGTGGACCCGGAACAGTAGCTTTGGCTTTGGAGGACGTTCCCTTCCTGGAGGCTTCTGAACAGGCATCTCTCTGTGGTCAACGATATCATCGATGTCGACTTCTCCGTCCATGGTTGGGGGCAGCATTGATCGACGAGAAGGAAACTGATCAGTTTCCTTGGACGCAGCGAGCTTAGAGGCGTGAAAGACTGGGTAAGTTCTGAGATGACCAGGGATACGGATGACATATGATGGACCATCAGGATCTGTCTCTACTACATCTAAAACTTCCCAAGGTCCAAAGTACTGAGGCATGAGTTTGCGGGATATCCCGAACTCCTGTCCCAGTTCTGAAGACTTGACCCAGACTCTGTCCCCAACCTGAAATGTAGAAGGGCGGCGGTGTTTATTCTCAGATTCTATCATTGCTGCCTGTGCCTTCTGCATGTGCTCTACAGTCTCCTGCATCTTCTGTTCATAACGATACGCGAACTCCAAAGTGCCCGGTGTCACAGTCGGTTGGTTATCAGAAAGTAGGAAATCTAAAGGCAGTCTAGGCCTAAAGGTAAGATGTAGACTGTTAGGACTTACCCCGGTAGCGCTGTGTACGGCGTTATTGTACAGACTGGCGACAAGAGCAAGCTTCTCGTCCCAGTCTACCTGGTTGGGCTTAATGTAATGCTGCAACAGGTGTTGAACAGCGCGGTTCATCTGTTCAGCCTGGTCGTTTGCTTCTCGATGGTTTCCGAAAGTCATTTGCAGTTGAGTTCCTTGTTCAGCTGCTGCGGCCTTCCATAATTCACTTGTAAATCTGACATCCCTGTCACTTACAATAGACTTAGGCAATCCAAAATCCCTCACCCAGTTCTCTTTGAAAAGCCTGATTACATACTCGGTCTTCGCTGTTTCCGGCATGGCTACTAACCTAGCATACTTACTAAACCTATCCACGATGACGAAGATCTGCCTCATCCCACTCTTGCTGGTGACCAGTGTATCCATGAAGTCCATGGACAAGCTTTCACCCGGCCTTTCCGGAATCGGAAGGGGCTTGAGCAGCCCAAGAGGAGCCTGAGTACGGGGCTTGTCGCGTTGACAAACTTTACAAGTCTCCACGTACAGCTGTGCATCTCGCATCATCGTGGGCCACCAGAATCGCTGCAGCAAGTTGGCTGCGGTCTTCTTATATCCGAAATGACCGGTGGCATCATGACACTCACCTAGAAACAAACTACGCAAAGACTCACTATTGGGAACACACAATCGTTTATTCCCTGCCTTCTTAAGGAACAACAAGCCATTAACCAACTCAAACTCGGCGGACGTCTTCTTGTCCTTCGCCTTAAGTCTGCGTATGATCTCAGACATAAACTGGTCCTCGCGATAGGCTTCCACCAAAGATTGAGTAACATTGTCCGTGAGACTGAACTCAGTAATCAGCGCACCTGAGAAGTCTGGTCTGCGCGACAGGGCGTCAGCAACCTTGTTGTACTCCCCTTTTAGATACTGCGGGTCAAAGTCATATTGCTCAATGACTTCGATCCAACGCTTGAGAGCGTCAGAAAGTACCGGCTGGGTTCTCATCCATTTCAGGGTCTGATGATCAGTTCTGAGGATGAAGACCCTCCCAAGGAGATAGTGTCTCCAATGGGTGAGAGCCTTGTACACCGCATAGAGTTCCTTCTCATAAGTGGACTTAGCCAACTTCTGAGACGGCATTTTCTTAGACATGTACTCAACTGGCCTCAACTTCGGCCCCTCTTGCTGCGCAAGCACGACGCCAATGCCATATTGGCTAGCATCCGTGGTTACTGTAAATGGCTTATCAGGATCGGGTAGCTTCAAGACTTCACAGTGCGTCAATGCATGCTTGAGATGTCTGAAAGCAGCCTCGCACTCATCTGTCCACTCCCACGGGGTGTCAAGGCGGGTCAGATCAGTCAAAGGAGCGGCCACTATGCTATAGTTCTTTACAAAAGTCCGGTAGTAGCCAGTCATTCCTAAGAAAGATCTCATCTCAGTCACGGACTGAGGTCGTGGCCAATCACGAATGCTGGCCACCTTCGCGTCATCGGGCTTCAACCCTTCCRCGGAGATCTCATGACCCAAGTACAAGATACGGGTGCGGCCAAACTCGCACTTTTCACCGTTGATCTTGAACTTGTGYTGTCGTAGGAGACTGAGAACTTTGTCTAGGTGTGCTACGTGCTCCTCGGCAGTCTTACTAAAATAAGTATGTCATCGAGGTACACGACGACAAACTTATCCAAGTAGTCATGGAATATCCGATTCATAGCGTGCTGAAAGGTACCAGGAGCATTGCAAAGGCCAAAAGGCATCACCACAAACTCGTATAGACCGTACCTGGTCTGAAATGCGGTTTTGTGTTGATCCTCGGGCCGGATTGCAATCTGATGGTACCCGGACTTTAGATCTATCTTACTGAAGTACCGACACCCTTGCACTCTATCTAACAGATCATCGATGCGCGGTAGGGGCTCTCTGTTCTTCACAGTGATGGCATTNGATCTATCTTACTGAAGTACCGACACCCTTGCACTCTATCTAACAGATCATCGATGCGCGGTAGGGGCTCTCTGTTCTTCACAGTGATGGCATTGAGGCCCCTATAGTCAATGCACATCCTGAGAGTGCCCTCCTTCTTAGGTACGAATAGTACTGGAGATCCGTAAGGAGAGACACTCGGTCGGATCCAACCCTTCTCTATGAGTTCCTTGAGTTGGCGGCGAAGCTCATCAAGCTCGCCTGGAGACATCCGATAGATCCTACCCTTCAAAATACTAGACCCTGGGATAATCTCTATCGCGTGGATGACCTCCCTCTCAACAACTCCTGTAGGCTCCTCAAATAGATCAGGGTACTTGGCAACTACTCCCTCTATCTCGGGCGGCATTTTTACCGGCTCGCCTACAGCAGAGACGTAAACCAGATACATACCCTCCTCCGGATTTTGCTTATAATAATTGTAGAACGCGGCCGCACACAAGCATCCGTGGGAATCAATCAGACTACTAGCCTTAAACTTGTGTAATCTGGCGGTTCCCCCGTTTGGCAAAGTGTGTTTGACCACCTTTCGGTCCCAGTCAAACTGGGGTTGTGCCACGGAGAGGTAGTACATACCCAATAGCATGTCCATGGGGAGCTCGTCGCTAACCAGGAATGAGACATGATGCCTCAATTCCCCTCCCGCGTACGGGAAAAGACATTCTATGTCTTTTAGGTAGTCATGGACTACCATGCGCTGTTTGTTGGCGCAGGTCGATTCCACAGGTCGACTGAGGAGCTGCACTTGCCCCTGTAAGCGCAGCCTCTCAACGCACGCGCGGCTAATAAAGTTCCTAGTCAAGCAAGTGTCGTAATAGGCCCCGACCTTGCGGCCTCCTATGACTACCTCGCTGACAAACATTTCACTCCCAGGGGCTTTGACTAACGCCGTCCACGAAGCTAGTGGGTCTGATCTGGACCACTCATCTTCTAACTCCTCTAAGGATTCAAACACATTCATCGAACAGAGGGTCGATGGGTCTGAATGTGTTTGCGGGACGACTGAAGAGTCTATAGCTTGGGCCATTTCTCGCGAATGTAAGGGTGTATCCACCACCGCGACCCGAGTAGGAACAACTACTATTCCTACTGGCCCGACGTGTTTCCCGAAGCCGTGCCAGAAGTGCTAGCAACGTTGCTTCCAACGGGAGTAGAGGATCCTCCTGTCGACCCCATAGCAGGCGGGATCTTCTCGGTGACCTTCCTGTTGCGGCACTTAAACATGCTATGACCATATTGGCCACACTTGATGCACGCTTGCCGTGCCCACCGATCTCTCCACACGTCCTCAGATAGACCCGCTTTCTCCCATGGAGGAGCATCGGGGTCTGTTTGACTCTTCGACCGGGATCCCCTAGGGCGTCTACCGGTCCCTTTACCTTTTTGTTGGGTTACGGCGGCGACTACTCCACCCTCTGAAGCACCGCCACCTGCCTCTGCACCTACTCCTAACTGGGAGTCGTCGTCCAACTCAATGGTTGAGCCATCGTGGTCGACGAACATAATGCGGCCCTTGGCTTTTCAGTTAGGAGGCAGCGTCTCCTTGTTCCCGTCCGTCACTGAGTTATGTTCATGCCCTATCTTTGCCTCAAGGTCTAGGGCTACCTTGCAGAACGAAGGAAAGTTGTGCATATTGATATCGGCCTCTTTTGCCAACTGGTTCCTGAGAGGCTGAGATAAGCACCTCAAGTACGAAGTTAACAGGACCTGGGGATCATAGCGTACCCCAGGGACACAGATCAAACGCTCAACAACGTCGGTGGCTTCTCTTAGTGACTTAAACTGCCGCGTGTAAAGTGTCAGGATCGCGTCAGTGGCCCTTTGAGCCTCCTGAGGATCATGCCACCTTTCTTCCACCATCTTTAGGAAGTCCTCCAATTTCTGAGAGGCTGCCCAAGAGCGGAAGTCATGACTGTACCCCTGGAGTTGCACTAACCCACTCAACCATCTTGCTGCACTACCCTCTAGGTAGGAAGCAGCCACAAGCACTTCTTCGTGCGGCAAGGTGAGTTTGCACCTGACGTAGACCGGCACTGCCCTCAACCATGTGTTGAGGTCCTCGCCTCTCTTGTCTCCTGTAAATGGTTTAGGAGCGGCGATGGCCGTCTTCGGAACCCACTGTGTTTGTCCCGGTCCCTGCACCACCCCGGGCTGTGGACCCGGTGATACAGGTTGTTGTGCTAGCTGCTGGGGCTGTGTACCCGGTGGCTGCACAGGTTGCGAGACAGCAGGCTGCGTGGTGACTGCAACCTGTGACGGACTTGGAGTAAACACTGTCTGTACAGGAACCTGTAAACTACTCCCTGTTGTTACCCCTCCTGATAGAGGCATGCCCAGGGAAACGATAACAACCGTTGACAGGGCTACATATGGGGATACCCCTTTCACCGGTGGGACAGAAAAAGGAGGATATGGCACGGGCCAGGCACCAGGCCCTGCCGGTGATGGTGCTCCCTGAGAACACCCTACCAAAATGGCTAGGCTCTGCTGGATATCATGAAGGATGGTAGTTTGATGCTCCTGCATCTCAATTACTGCTAGCAGGGCCCTGCTAACTACCCTCACATCGTCATCCATGTTCGTCAGGTCCATCGACTCTAACTCCTCTATGTCTGCCCCTCTCCGTTGCATCTTGGTCCTTCTTCTAATCATCATCTCCTTCTCCCTTTTTATCTGTCCTAATGCCTGTTGTAGCTGTGCCTCTTGCAGGGCTGCCTGCTGGATGGCGACATCCTCTGGGGTCAACACCGCAGGCTGGCTTGCCATTAAGCCAGTGGACTGACTCACGGTCTGTGCGACCGTAGACCCGGCGGTACCTGAACTACCGGCTGGGGAAGTCTGCTGTGCAGACGTGCTCATGGCTGTGGTAGCCATGGCTGCTGTAGCACCGGCCTCGCTAGCTGATGCCCTGCTGGCCTTGGTTGCTCTAGCTCTCCTCTGCTGCTGCCTCTCCCGCTGCCGGCGGAACAGTTCCCTATCACCCCCCGGTCCAAGGGACACGTGAGATATTGGGCCTCTAGCTGATCGCAAGATCCTGCGGTTGTCCTCTCCGGTGTCCTCACTGTCGCTTATAGACTACAGCCCTGTGCACCGCCTACACTAGATCATTCAATGATGCCTAACGCAGCATAGTGCACAGACCAACTATTTAGTGGTGGCTATTTTTGGAACAGATCTCATTTGGGGTCAACAGGTAAGTCAGATTCCTACCGTCAGTACTATTTTTAGTAAGATTAGTTCTCAAACGGAGGAAGCATCAGGAATAAACAATATTCTAAATTAATGTTGTCTGTCAGATAACACATGGCTGTCCATCTAACTAATCAAAACAAAAATAATGTTGACTGACTGGGTTTGTTCATAGCATGGAATTTAAACTCAAACTTATCACCTGGAACCTACCCCTCCCTTTGTTCTTCTCAATGTCACGGTGTCACATCCCTAAGCATCTGAAGCCAAGCGTGTCTGAAGGTGTGCAATCCGGTCCCACCCCTGTGCCCCAGGTTATCGTCGAGCAAGGCAGCCACAACACTCTTATTTATCCTCGTACGCTGACGAGCCTTCCACTCGGATGATCTGGCTGATCAAGAGGCAATTCAACGTCCGCCCCCAAGTGACTCCAGGAATTATTTTACGTTGCAGTCGGACGACGATCACAGCCAGATCAGAGCCGAGTCCCCAACCAGAAATGTTTATAGACGGTCTAGTATGCGTCTTAAGAGGCTGCCATACTCGAGTTAACCCCTATTTTGCGCAAGCAGCAGAACCAACGACTTGCAGCGAAGCATGCGTGTACTAGTCCCAGCGGGTTGGCATGGTGACCGTGACCCGAGTGCTTCGTCCAGGGCCTTTCAAGAAGCTCCGCCCGTCTTCCCCCAGATACTCCACGTGAACAATCACGACTCTCAAGGTTGAGCACACACGACACCTCACGATGAGAGGACTCTCAAGACAGAACTCACAACCTCACAGTAAGAAGTGATGGAGAGGGTAGATAAGGTTAAGAGCAACGTACCTCATTCAAGCTGCCCCCAACCATAGAGGTAATCTCACCAGATGATCTGAAGATGATTGCGGTGACCAGTCACAGCATCGACACAACCAGCATTGTCTCGCCGTTCCACCTCGGCCTCAATCACCCAACAGATAGTTCTCATCACACTTCGAACACCCAATATTTACACGTAGCCTTCCAGGCGATGCCCCTCACCACCTGGGTCGCCAATACTTGTCACTTCCCCTCCTCACTACACACCAATCACAGCCCACTCACGTAGCAGACCGCACGTATGTACCGCATGAGAAAAGAGACAAGTGCCAGATGAGCGCACTGTACCACAGCTCCGATACCAAATTGCAAGGAAGATGAGCATTAGCGAACGCCAGCAATCAAACAGCATCATACATATGTGTCCAGATAGTCTTGACCTCGAACCAACAGCAGTCATGCATCACGAGATTCACCAAATCAGAACACACCAATAGTTCGTAATTGACAATGCTGAAATAGTCTCTCATCATCATCAACGAAGAACAAGAGTTGATATCCTATTGGCGCTCGGCRCCCAGACTACTTGTGGCAGATYCTATCTAGCCTAATACTACAATGTCRATGTTGACAACAACAGCTCCYTGAAGTACGAGCATACAGCGGACAATGCCGCACGCTTCCAGCACCAGGTATGTCTCTCGTAACACTCACAACCCCGATCCACACCGCACAGATGCCTCTTGCACCCAAGGACCACCCTGCGCCACACCCAGCTCACAGCGGAGCAGCTCGGCTATGGCTGCCCGCTCCTTCCTGCTCGCCCGTGAGAGCGTGAGTGCCAGCCAGCCAGCAAATAGCGCTGCAGCGCTCGCGCAGCATGCAGCCAGCACCCGAATACCGAATGAGGAGGCAGGCCCTTCCCTATATCGAAGTGGCCTGCCTGCGTCCAGTCCAGGAAGCTTCCGGTAGGCCCCGGTAGGCACAGGCCCAGTCACGAAGAGAGCAGGCCTTGGGCCTGGAGTTGTTGCATGAGCCCAACTGCTTTCCGCCTGTGTTTGGCCCGGTACCCGTATCCAGCCCAGGGCCTGCTTCACATTCATTTACACAGGCGGCCCAGGGCCTGGATTCATTCAACCAACTGGCGCAACGCAACTGTCTGAATTTCCCCGATCTGGGGTACCCTGAAGAACGAGGCCCGAAGGGCCTGTCGTGCCTGCCTTCACTTAGGGCGGCCGACCTTGTTGCAGATAGGGCCCCGTAGGGGCTAAGCGGGCGTAGCCTCGCAAAAGTTATTTTTCTTGTGTTTTATATTTTTTTCTTTTCTCCGCCTTTTCTGTTTTGTTTTTTTTTTAATAATTCCGTAAAATTAATTGTTTCCCCCCAAAAAAAAATGGCGTCCCATTTTTTTTATTTTTTTTTTCCTATTATTTTTTTTGGGAAAAATCGGTGAAATTCATGGCTGCTGTGCGGCCGAGGACAACAGCCCTCCGAGCTTGACCCCGCGACCGGGGCTCCAGGTGTAACATAGAATGCATTGTCTATCGCAGTCTATGGGTGTATCTTTCGCTTCTAGTATCCTCATGCTGTGGCTGATACTTCCGGGTCAGCCCATCATCATCACCTCGTGCTCTGGAACAGAAAGATACAGAAAGAAAACAGAGAGAGAGAGGATACAAAGATTACGCACGCACCTTCTGATGATGTCTTCATATTTGTCAGACCAAGGAGGAGGGCAACGTAACCATCAGTTTCTTGGTGGCCCTTCCAATAAATTGGCCGGTGAATTCTGCACTGGTCACTGATCCTCCAACCGCCTATGTCTACTCTGTTCGCACTGTTGTCTCTGTGGACTCCTCGTTCCCCCAAGACAATCGCTGGTCTCCCTTTGCCCCACCAGCCAACCCAAGTGAATGTGCAACCGCCTCCTGTGGGAAGCAACTCCTGGTCCAATCCTCAAGCTCGTGCGTATCTACCATCCACACACCTAGAGATTTGTACACAGACACATATAACCATTCCGTCATTCATGCATGGGCCGTTTTCATCATGTGCATGTGAATTGTTACAGTTCCTTTCCAAAAGCAAACATAAACAAAGAAAAGGGGTCCCCTTTTCAGCTACAGCAATTCAATTCTAGAGGCATAATTGCAGAAACTTTGCAATGGTTCACGTCAAATAACCTTTACAGCAAAAACGGGCGCGAAAAGGGGTATCGTTGCCTTCAGAAAGCTTGGAAAAAGGGTATTTCTGCAATGAATTTAGGGAATTGTAGGGGTTTGTTGCAATCCAATAATGTATTTCTGCCATGAAAGCTCGTTGTGAAGGTACATTTTGGCGAGACAGATTAAAAACCAGGCATTTCTGCAGTTTACCTAGGCTACTTGGATCGCCCAGCCGAGCACCGCAGCCAAGTTGCCCAGGGGTCACCTGCTTGGGGGTCACCTGCACGAGCACCCCGTGCAGACAAAACTCAGCACTTCCTTTTTTCTTTTTTGTTTGTGGGGCACCTTTGTGCCCACCTGGCTTTGTAAAAACCGGGCTTATTTTCGTTTATAAAAAGCTTTCAGGTTTCACCTAAACCAGGCTCAGACAAACTCAGGACAAAAATTAAGAAGACACTAAAAACAGACTCAAAACAGACTCACACACACTCAAACCAAGTTGAAAACAGAAGCAGACAGACTCAAATGGACCTGTAGACTAGAATAGACTTAAAAGAGACTCAAACAGACTAAGGCAGACTCAAAATTGGCGCAAACAGATTTAAACAGTCCTGTGATAGAGTCAAAACTGGCTCAGAACAGAGTTAGACAGACTCAAACGGAGCTATCAGACTCAAAACAGACTCAGAACAGATCCGAGACAGACTGAAAACAGGATAAACCAGACTCAAAAGAGAACCAGACAGACTAAAACTGAGGTTCGGACTCAAGCAGGCTGAAAACAGACTCGAACAGACTCATCGGGAGTCAAAACAGAATTATTCATAATGTAATATTAGGAATCACACACTGGCACACATTGTCAATCCACAAACAGCCTCCCCAACGACAAAAATGGCGGGAGATTTGTTTTGGAATCCTTTTGAGCTGCGGCCAGTGGACCAGGATGGGCACTGGGTCTCAAGTGTCCCATGGCCAAAGGAACAAAATCTGCCCGGCACTCGCCCTGGGCATCTGCACGGCCGGGCCGCAGGGCAAATCGTTTTTTCCTGTTTCAGCTTTTGTTCCCCCATCTCCTCCCCCCCCCCTCCCTATCTTTTTTTTTTTGTGTGTAAGTTTATATTAAACCGATCAGAACAGAACTACACTTGATCTTAGCCAAATGGCAGAGAAAGGTGGTATTCTCCCTCCCCCTCCCTATCTTTATCAGCATGTTGTGATTTTGCATCGAGTATCCTGCACTGGGATCGAAAAAGCAGTTCCACAATTCCTTGACTGTCCTTTCGGGAGGTCCATTACAATTAGAACGAGATGAGAAAATTCGCACAGCATGGCATTGCATTGAATCCCTTGTACGCACACAGCATATTGTCATAATAACACTCACTCGGGCAGACATAAGCATCACTCGGAGTCTCTACTGTGCCCACCAGATCTCTGAACAGCAATTCTTCAGCGTTCTGGGTGTCACTGAGATGATAAGCATCAATTGAGAGCTCATGTACTACACCTTCGGGCATAGTCACAGTTCGTCTAACCTGGATGCATGTGGCCGCTATTTACTGTAAAATCCAGTTAAATTAAAAAGTCCCGGCGTGAATATGACCATAGAGGAGTAAAGAGGCAGCTATGAAACACCCACGGAGGCAGCCATGCGCAGCCGTGGCAGCCAGCGGGGGGGGGGTCGCGGGGGTTAGGGAGGCAGATTTGGGTTGCGCAACCCCCGCGCCAACCCCTCAAAGAAAAAAAAGGAAAAAAAAA